GATTCAGAGATGTATTGACAATAGAGCAGATATACAAGTGCTAGAGCCCAGAGCTACACTGCTTTAATTGCAAGGGTTTAATTTGTTCCCTGCATTTCCTTTTACAAACAACAATCGAGCCGAATGGTCCCAGGAACTGGCTGCTGATTAAAATAAGTAAAATCGGCTTGCAGTCTGCAAATAGTAATTAAACATTGTTTTAACCCTAACTTAAGCTAGATTTTGCCAAATGACGGACTCTCATTATTTGCAAGCACTGTGGGACACAAATACTATGAAATGAATTATAAATATTAAATCAGGCCGAGCCATCTTGGATTCAGCAATTATATTTGGAGCATCTCACTTCACAACAAAGGGACTAACTTCACAATAGAGCCTCTTCACTAAAATCGAACATCTTTTACTGGACAATAACATTCAATCAGTACTATTCAGATTGATGAGTCCGAATAGCAGGAAAAAAAAACATTAGGGGCTACTTTGGTAGCCATAGGGTGATCAACCCTGGGAACGAATCTGAGGGGAGGGATTTTCTTGGACAGCAGAATCCCCGTCCAAACCACAGGAGAGATATCCACGCATGGACAATTTCCCTGCTGTAGTTTGGAAGCGAAAGGGCAATTTCCCCGAATAACAGATTGTCACTATACCACACTTTTCCAACAAAGATATATACACAAAATAGCAGAAAACATAATATGAATAAATTAAGGCACCAGAGTCAAATTCGTAAAAGTTCTACTCAAGTATCATCTTTTCCAACAAAGCTAATATATGGCCTTCCTACGATCATCTCCATCAACATACCCAATTAGGTAACCAAAAATAAAATAGGATCACTATGGACTGTGAATTCTCTTTCTGCCTTTGATAGCAACTTTAACCGGAGGCCTTGAGCACATAATGTTGAGCAAGTCTGCATCACTTTTCTCAGATCATGCATTGCTTCCACCGATCCCTCTCTGCAAGTAACACAAAGAAAAAGTATAATAGCTTAAAACTGAGTAGCAATCCACATGAATGGATCACTTAATTCATAAGTAGCAGTCCACATGAAATTCATCGTCCACACAAATTCACAACTAGACAAAATCAAAATCAATGATCTGAGAAGCTGGTAGTTTGTGCTTAGGGCGAGGGCGGATGCACTCGCCCTGCTAGAAGCCGCCTGCAGACAAGCTGGGAGCCTGTCCACCTGGACTGTGATGATGACTTTGATTTGCAGCTCAAAGAAAGATGGTCAAGAACAAGTTCATTTTGCAGCTCAATTGTGATCATGCTCTCTCACAAAAAAAAAGTGCTTATTTCCATGATTATATGATATAGTGAATCACCAAGCACAAAAAGGATAGTTTAGCTTTCTCAAATCAAAAGAAAAAGAAAGAAATGATTGAAGCAGCAAAGTGCCATCTAACATCTTGGATTGACTTATTACTTCCACTGTATTCATACAAGTGCCACAAACCAAACAATCAAGGTAATAGTTCTGATAGGCAAAGCAATAATTGGAAAATCATTCAGAAACTGTGCTAAATGCTGAATGAACAAGTAGAGAAAAATTCCTAGCATGCTCCTCCCAAGAGGCCATCTAGTGTTACATATATAAAATTATATTATTACATATATAAACAAGTAGAGAAAACAAGTGTACACAAAAAGGAAAAGAGAGAAGGCGTTCCAGTTGTGGTATGTTCCTCTAAACTTGCATGATTGCCACAGTTAAGCCCCATAAACTTGAAAAACTAGGTGCTCAGCTCCTAAATTTGCTTATATGTGCAAGGTAATAATACTGACTTAGCTAACAAAACTACAGCAAGTGGTCCAATCAAAATTACATTAATGATCCAATAATCAAGAAAGATCTGTCACCAGAGCAACCGAAAGCAAAGCAATTCCCTGCAGAAAAACAACTGACAGCAAAGCACAAGAAATGAGAAAGTGCAGTATGCAGACAGCAAACAGAACTGCACCTGGATTCACCAAAAAGAATTAAACAAGACCAGAAAGGTTATACAGAAGAGCATGATCTGCAGCTGATGTTGCTGGATAGGAACAACTGTTGTTGAAGCAAAAATAAAGCATGGGTATGCTTCGTCCAGGAAAGCTCTAAATGCTGCATGAATAAATGTAGCAACCCAGATCCCTTATGAGTTAACATCTTCAGTTTGAGGAAAGTAAATATGGGTATGCTTCGTCCAACTGGAAGAAGAAAAAATTGCCCCATAAATATTCACCATTAGAGATTGGTAAAACCAAAGAATTTATTGCAGGCTGCACGCATACAGAATCGACTTCTGGTCCTTGGGTTACCACAACTACAATCATTTTCTTGGGCCCTGTTATAACCACAACTGAAACTTCTTAATTACCAGCAAATTATGAATGGATGAACTTGCCTGGTCTCCACCATCTTGAAGCAACTTCTAGCAAAAGTCTTGACTGCTGATAGCATATTTCAAGCACAAAAGTGCCTCTTTATAGCATATTTCCAAGACATTGGCTCTGATCATAGATGGTATTAGAATTTATAAATGCAAATCAAAGGCATAAAAAATACCATGGCATACCATAATAATTCAAAATCAAAGCTTTATTTAGCTCTCATAATTTGATCTGTTGTCGGCTCTATACAAATTGCAACAATTTTTTTTATCACTGAGGAATAACATATTTTTTAGTAACTAATAGAATGTGTGGGGTATCTCAATATAGTATATATACAGGCAAAACTACATACATGTTTATAAAAAACAAATAGAGAAGCATGATCAGGACAACACGATTAGGGTGGATACTAATACTATATAGTACTGTACTCATTATCATGGGCCGGCGTAAAGAATGAAAACCAAGGAAAAGAAAAGCAAATAAGATAATGGCGGCCTTTTCACATATGAACCAGAAAACACTACATGCTTAATCACACAATAGCACAATTGCTTAAACACTACATGTTTAATCACGGGACCAATTGGACAGCCTCTTGCAACCTGTGCGGTCCTGCAAGCAACAGAGGCACACAGGCTCCTTTATTGTTGATTTTGCTTCTGCTCTCTCAATTTTTTTGGATGACTAAATTTCTAGCGCTAATGCTTTAACACGTGTGGCCACTCAAAAAGCTATGGCATACTATGGCAAGCAACAGAGGCACACAGGCTCCTTTATTGTTGATTTTGCTTCTGCTCTCTCAATTTTTTTGGATTACTAAATTTCTAGCGCTAATGCTTTAACACGTGTGGCCACTTAAAAAGCTATGGCATACTATGGCAAGCATCCAAGCAACAGAGGCACACAGGCTCCTTTGCTGCTCGCGCACAGTGCATTTCCATTATTATGCTATGGCATACTATATTTTTGAGCTAGAAGCTTGATCATTTCACATGAAAGAAATTTTGTAGTCATGAACATGTTTTTTCAGTGGAAGGCTGCTCCGTGTGTTGCTGGCCCGGGGAAAACAACGGGATCCCTGCGGGGATTTGGGCTGCCAAAGTAGCCCTAGGTAGGATCTCCATTCTTGATTGTAAACAATAGTTTTGCCAAAACTAAACACTAGGATTCACTAAGCAAAAGAAACATATGGATTCAGAAAAGAAATAGTTTAGCTTTAGCTAACAAGCACGTGGTCACGCAGATAAGGTGCACCAAGACCGTCTGAACCAAAATAATAAACACTAGGACTTTAAAATAGCTCACACTTGTGAAGTTTAACAGATTTGAAACTCAATAGATGAAAGAATAAATATAACAATTAATAATTCCATACAGATTTGGCTCAAATAAATCGGAATGGTACAGCCAAAGGCAAGGCACATCAACAGATACCTATGCAGTGACTTCAATAAATCTGATTGTAGTCTGAATATCTAGCTTCATATCCAGCTCTACTTTGTATTTTTGAGCAGGTAGTAATCCCTTTCAAGTTTTGATTATACGCTGACACCAATGGGTTCTAAGTACTGTTGCTTCCCCTTATCCCTCACCTTGTAAATTGCTTACCCTGTTCAAACAATACTAACACTTTGTACTGTCAGAGTAAACCGTGCAGCTAGAAGAAATCATCTGGAAATCAGAGTAGCTCTTCCAATTTCAGAACTGACAGCACCCTGCTCAACAGGGCATCCAAGTAGCAATGCACATAATCACTGAACAACCAGGTAGCAATTAACAATAATGTAGAGAGGATGCAATTTGCACCCTCGCCATACTGGCAGCTAAGCATTCTAATACCAGAATTAAACAACACGCGTTTCTTTAGTTTTACTGAATGAATGAAGGAAGGAAAAGGTGTAGGCCGTACCCTGTAGCGAAGCGGAACTGGCAATAGCGGTCGGCAACACACAAGGTGTATGAGCATACCTGCTAGTTCCCGCGACGATGGAAAAATGGACTGTCAATTAGAGATAAATGACTGCAGTATAAAATTACTAATATACAATTCTCTTCATGATCAACGGTTGGAAATAATTCTTTGGGGAGGAACCGGTGGTCCCTCCGAACACAGTAACAAATCTCTGCTATTATACCTTCAGAGTTCCTGACAATGGAGAGCTGAATAACCAGGCAACCTGCAAACCTCAGGATGGGATTGTTGGGGAACAGGACTACAGGAAATAATCAGCTTACACTTAACTTGTTGCATACACAAAAATAGGATATCGCTTCGAGCAAACGATGTGAACAAGGAGCATTTCCATACAATCTGATACTAATTTGTTATTGAACGAGGAGCAAACAGGTATTCTCATTGAGTTCGAAATAAGACAGTCAACCCACACCAGCAAACCTCACAGGTCAATGCTGGGTACTGGCCTACGACTGGACATAGACAAAATACAGCCGAATCGTTTTAGGCCTCTCCAACTAAACACGAAAACACACAAAACAACTCACACATAAGTTAGATGCCCAGGTAAGGGAAACCATGGTTTCACCACAACTGCATGCTATCTGGACGCAAACATGATATATCAGAGTTCAGAGCCAGCTTCATCCCCGGGTTAATGCTGTTGCAGATTCAGGTTCTGCTGCTGCCCCTTTGCGTGGGATCGACAAACATTCTCGTCCACCCTGGCAAGCGCCACCCTCTTCTTTGTTTCTTTGTTCTGCATGTTACAAGCCAGTTCAGCATTGGAATCATATACGGAAAGAGTACATAGATGAAGTGGAATTGGTTCATTACCTTCTTGGCATTCAGTTTCTCCTTGAGCTTGGCTCTGAGCTGCCCTAAGCTAAGCTTAGTCAAATCCTCGGATTCGCTTGCAACCTTCACTCCCTTCTCTTCTAGCACTGTCATGGGTCCAGCAGTGTTCTTCTCACTGCTGTTCTTGCACACTGATGGCTCCATGGTGATAATGCTCTTGGACAGGGACTCTGTGACATCATCAAGCAATGCAATCTCCTTCCGGGCACTCCCGTCTTGTGCCCTCGAGACTTCTGGCTCAATGTCAGCAGTGATTGATTTCTTCTGCTCATTGCCATGACCAAAATCGGTTCCAAAACAGTTTTCGTTTAAACATTCATCCATTGTATGTGTGACATTTGGTACAGTCCCCTGATTTGGCATGTCCTCAGTAATCACAACTGCCTTTTCCTCAACAACTTCAACGTCAGTCCCTGTAACTTGATCTGGCATTTCAGTAGCTATACCTATCACTTCCTTCTGTTCATTTGCATGAGCAGTATCAGTTTTGAAATGATCAAAGACAACATCTCCATCCATTGTAACTGAGCTCTGTTTCTTCTCATCAACAATCAGTGGTGTCTTCTCCTCAATTTCACTGTCGGTCTCAGTGACTTCTGGCACTTCAGTAGCAACCACTTCCTTCTGTTCATCAGCATGAGCAACATGGGTTTTGAAATGATCATCCACAATGTCTTCATTCATTGTAGCTGTGCTCAGTTGCTTCTCATCAACTATCAGTGGTGTCTTCATCTCCTCAACAACTTCATCATCTATCTCTGAGAGTTCTGGCACTTCGTTAGTAGTTGCCACTTCCATCAGTTCATCAGCATGAACAACGTCAGTTTTGAAATGATCATTGAAGACATCTTTATCCATTGTAACTGTGCTCTTTTGATTCTCATCAACAACCGGTGGTGTCTTCTCCTCAACATCTTCAACATTTGTCCCTGTGAGTTCTAGCACTTTGTCAATAGTTACCACTTCCATCTGTTCATCAGCATGAACACTATCAGTTTCAAAATTATCATTGACAACATCTTCATCCATTGTAACAGTTTCAAACTGATCATTCTCGATGTCATCATGCATTCCAGTTGTTCCCTGCAGCGTCTCATCGGTGATCAGTACTCCCTTTTCCTCCTGAACAACTTCATCATCTATCTCTGAGAGTTCTGGCACTTCGTCAGTAGTTGCCACTTCCATCAGTTCATCAGCATGAACAACATCAGTTTTGAAATGATCATTGACGACATCTGTATCCATTGCAACTGTGCTCTTTTGCTTCTCATCAACTCCCGGTGGTGTCTTCTCCTCAATAACTTCAACGTTTGTCCCTGTGAGTTCTGGCACTTCCACTTCCATCTGTTCATCGGCATCTTCATACATTGTAACTGTGCTCTGTTGCTTCTCATCAACTATCACTGCTGTGTTCTCCTCCACAGTAATTTCACAATCAGTCACTTGTTCTGGCAGGTTGTCATCAGTGACTACTTGATCAGCTTGAACTAAAACATCTTCTATCAGCTTGAGCTCAGGAACTTTGTCAGTAGTTACCACTTCTATCTGTTCATTGGAATGAACACCATCAGTTTCAGAACGATCCTCGACAACATTTTCATCTATTGTAACTGTGCTCTGTTGCCTTTCATCAACTATCAGTGATGTGTTCACCTCCACAGTAAATTCACAATCTGTCACTTGTTCCGGCAGGTTGTCAGCAGTGACTACTTGATCAGCTTGAACAAAAACAGTTCCAAACTGATCATCCTCCATGTCATGCATGCCAGCTGTCCCCTGCGGCATCTCATTGGTGATCAGTACTCCCTTTTCTTCCTGAACAACTTCATCTGTCACTGTGGTTTCGGACATGCTGTCACCAATAACCACTCCATTCGGTTTATCACCATCCTCATCCAATGCCGCTTGGTTCTCAGGCATCTCACTTGTGATGTTTCCTGCCTTCTCCACTTCAACCAAGCTGATATCACTTGAACAATCAAGAAGAATGGTGTCATCCACCGAGTCATGCAGCACCTTATCAGCAACCACATCACCCTCCTCTCGACAGCTAAGACCATCTTCAGTATTGACCTCCATGTCAGCAGTGACTACTTGATCAGCTTGAACAAAAACAGTTTCAAACTGATCATCCTTCATGTCATGCATGCCAGCTGTCCCCTGCGGCATCTCATTGGTGATCAGTACTCCCTTTTCTTCCTGAACAACTTCATCTGTCACTGTGGTTTCGGACATGCTGTCACCAATAACCACTCCATTCGGTTTATCACCATCCTCATCCAATGCCGCTTGGTTCTCAGGCATCTCACTTGTGATGTTTCCTGCCTTCTCCACTTCAACCAAGCTGATATCACTTGAACAATCAAGAAGAATGGTGTCATCCACCGAGTCATGCAGCACCTTATCAACAACCACATCACCCTCCTCTTGACAGCTAAGACAATCTTCAGTATTGACCTCCTCTGCATCAGAGAAGACACCTGGTTCAGCAATCAAATTTGGCATCAACAAATGAAGCATTTTAGTTGGTGCACATTGATTGGGATGAAAACACTCTTCAGTTCTCACCTTGCGGTTTCTCTTGTACCTCCGGCTGCAGAACGGTCCTCGTCACCGTGCCCCTCCTCGTGGCCCTTGGTGGTGCCTTCTCCTCTGCCTTTGCAGCAGCAGCTGCTGCTGCTTTCATTGTCGGTTTAGGGTGGCGAGTCTCCCGGATGCGTACCGCCTCCACGGACACAACCGGTGAACCCACAGCCTCTGCATCAGAGAAGACGTCTGGTTCAGCAACCAAAATTAGCATCAACAGAAGCAGCATCTCAGTTAGTGCACATTAATTGGGATGAAATCACTCCTCAGTTCTCACCTTGTGCTTCATCTTGTACCTCCTGCTGCAAAAGGGTCCTCATCACAGCGCCCCTCCTCGTGGCCCTCCGTGGCGCCTTCTCCTCTGCCGCTGCAGCTGCTGCTGCTTTCATCGTTGGCTTACGCTGACGAGTGGCCCGGATAGGTACCGCCTCCACGGCCACATACCCTGCCTCAGCTTTACTTGCAGCAGCGCTTCTCCTCGTAGCCGGAGCTTCCGGAGCTTCTGAATGGGCAGGCGCGCGCCGGCTGGCACCGCACCGCCCCACAGCAATTGCTGGCGCATCTCCCTTCTCTTCCTCCGGCTTCGTGTCCTGCGTTTTCTCCTCCTTGCTGTCGTCCAGCCTGATAAGCTCGGTCGAGTTGGCCTTGATTCGGCGGCCGCGTGGGACAGGGGCCCTCTGCTCCTCCTCTGCGTTAGCTTCTGGCGCAGCTACAGCAGGCGCCGCCCGAGCGCGCCGGCTGGCACCTCCGCGCCGACCCACGCCAAGGATTTGGGCGTCCTCCTCCCCCTCCGGCTTCGCATCCTCCTTTTGCTCATCATCGCTGTCGTCCAATCTGATAGGCTCGGTCGAGGTGCCCTTGGCCTTGACACGAGGGCCGCGTGGGATCGGGGCCCTCTGCTGCTCCGCTACCAATTTGCCCGCTAGCGCAGCAACAGAAGGCGCCGCCCGAGCGCGTCGGCTGGCACCGCGGCGGCCTACGCCAAGGGCCGGCGCATCATCCATGGTCGCCTCCCGCTTGAGGTCCTCCACCACCACCTCCTCGATCTGCTCCTCTTCCGCACCTGCAACCTCCGAGTCGGCTCCCGGCGCGGCCACAGCAGGCGAGGGTCGAGCGCGCCGGCTGGCACCACGCCGGCCCACGACGGGTGCAGGCGCATTATCCCTGTTGGCCTCCCGCTTCAGATTGTCCTCTTGGCCGTCCTCCTCCGCCACTGCCTTGCCCGGCGGCAGAGGCACGGTAGGCACGGGCCTAGCGCGCCGGCTGGCACCGCGCCGCCTGACGCCAGGTGTCTGCGCATCCTCTTTGTTCGACTGCTGCTTCGCATCCTCCTCTAACTTTTCCTTGTCTTCCTCTGGCTCAATTGGCTCCGATGACTTGGCCGTGGTGCGGCGGCCGCGCGGAAGCGGCCTCTCCTGCTTCTTCGGCTTCTGCTCCTCATTCACCGACTTAACCGCCGTTTGCGGCACGGCGAACGGCTGCAGAACCTTGACGTACTCCTCGATCCCTTCGACCTGGAACAGAATTACGGAACGCGTAAGGTAGCAAGTATTTAACTCACAGAGCCCAGATCTGGCGATCGACGCGTAACGGGGCGAGGAAGCGAGGGTGCCTACCTTGGGGAGCGCGCGGAGGGCGTCGGCCATGGCGGCATTGGTCATGTTGGCGCGGATGTCGTTTCGCTTGCACAGCGCCTGCAGGTCGCGGCGGGGGAGCGCGAGGAAGTCCATGCTCTCTTCGCTGCGGGCGGCGGCGACCGTCCTCCTGTCCTGTCACCTCGATCTCTCTTCCTCTCCGCCGTTTGGCCGCCTCCTCCTCTCGTCCGATCTGGTTCCGCTCGGCTCGGCTCAGCTGGGGTGCGCAGCGAATGCGAAGCTGCGATGGGTCATCCGGAAAAAGCGATCGACGGGGAGCGTGGGGGTTGTATATAAAGGCAGAAAGCGCGGCCGGATTTGAATTCGAGGAATCCGGCCGTTGGAGCGGGCCTGTTCATCTCCCCAGAATTTCTTTTTCAAACTTGCAGGCGCTGGACCCCACATTATCGAGTTACTGTATCCTGTTGGTCGAACCACAGGATGCCACGTGCCTTACTTGCCGTCTTCTCTTCGATACGATCCAGTCTTGCTGTATCTGAAAACTACGCGCTCATTTCGAATTTCGGAAATCGAATGCGTGCTCCCGAGGCCTCTCCGTACGTGGATATTTGGGGTCCGTTTGGTTTCTACGGGGCTCCTATCGCATCGAATATTTGACGTATGTATGAGTATTAAATATAAATTAATTATGAAACTAATTATACAACTTATGACTAATTTACGAGACGAATCTTTTAAGCCTAATTAGTCCATGATTTGACAACGTGGTGCTTCAGTAACATGTGCTAATGATGGATTAATTAGGCTTAAAAAATTCGTCTCGCAAATTAGCCTCCATCTATGTAATTGGTTTTGTAATTAATCTATATTTAATGCTCCTTATTAGTATATAAATATTCGATGTGACATGAATTTTAGGAGCGACTAAAGAACCAAACACCCCTCGCTTCCATAAAAGATTGTTACTTATTTTTCTTAAGTCCCGATGATTGTTAGGTTTTTCAGTGGAATTTATTTAGGACTGGTTGACTGAATTGTGAATGTGAACCCGTATTATTCGGTTACTTGGTCGTTTCTCGCTAACGTTGTGGCTTGTGTGGACGGGATTGGTTTATTTTAATTGGACCGCTATATATAAATCCTAACTTATCGTCATGTGCCCACGAAGAAGCCCAGCCTGTACCGAAACATCTTGGCCCAACATTTCCACGGACGTTCCGAGGCCCAAAAGGACTTAAACTAGTCAGGGAACGAGTAGCTGCAAGCCAGCACGGCACCATTTCTTTGCCCGGGACGACTAGCGATCGCAGACGCCCTAAACATAGCGTACCATTAACAAGATTAAATCGTTCGGGTTCGGTGGGTGTGAGAATGCGAAAGCAGCTGCGATGGGTCATCCGGAAAAGCGAACGACGAGGAGCGTGGGGGTCGTATATAAAGGCAGAAAGCGCGGCCGTATTTGAATTAGAGGAATCCGGCCGTTGGAGCCGGCCTGTTCATCTCCCTAGAATTTGTTTTTCAAACTTGCAGGCGCTGGACCCCACATTATCGAGTTACTGTATCCTGTTGGTCAAACCACAGGATGCCACGTGCCTTACTTGCCTTCTTCTCTTCGATACGAGCCTGGTCGCTTGGTTGTAAACGATCGTAAATTTCCAGCCGGAACAGTGTTTTTCTCTCACACCAAACCAGCCAGCAGTAAATAATCCACAATCGTTATTTACGACCTTCGAACAGTGACGATCCGGAATTTTGTCAGATCGAAAACTATGCTCATTTGAATTTCGGAAATCGAATGTGTGCTAAGGAACCAAACGCGGATATTTGCTTCCATAAAAGATTGTTACTTATTTTTCGTAAGTCCCGATGATTCTTAGGTTTTTCGGTGGAATTTATTTAGGACTGGTTGACTGAATTGTGAATGTGAACCCGTATTATTCGGTTACTTGGTCGTTTCTCGCTAATGTTGTGGCTTGTGTGGACGGGGTTGGTTTATTTTAATTGGACCGCCATATATAAATCCTAACTTATCGTCGTGTGCCCACTAAGAAGCCCAGCCTGTATCGAAACATCTTGGCCCAACATTTCCACGGACATTCCGAGGCCCAAAAGGACTTGTGAACTAGTCAGGGAACGAGTAGCTACGAGCCAGCACGGCACATTTTCTTTCCCGGGACGACTAGCGACTGTACGCCCTAAACACAACGTCCGGCCGGACGCAGCTCCCACGCTCACATCCGGTGCACGCGACTCCCTTCATCGCAGCTCCCACACTCACATCCGACGCACGCAACTCCCTTCGTCCCACGTCAAATCCCGCTCCGGAGGCAGCGGCTGTCTGGACGGAGCTCCGCATCGCATCCCGCGTCCCACGCATGCCCGCATCGCGCACTAGCGTCTGGAACCGTGCCCCCGTGCCCGCACGCGAACCATGGCAGCGACCTGGCAGTAGCACTAGGCCTACCACACCCATCCCGCGCCCGCACATGAACCACGGCGGCGCCCCGACAACAGCACCAAGCGCCGTTGTTCGCTAGTCACCAGTCGCGCATTGCAACATGTGCAACACCGATCTACTTTTAAAACATAAAGATGAAACATTCGCAACATACAACTGAAATGGATGAAATATTTGAAATATGCTCTTGAAACATGCATGTATAGCCCAAGCAACATATGCAACATCCAGATCCACTTTTGCAACATAAATATGAAATATCTGTAACACATGAAAACAAACACTTGAAACATGCGTGTGCAGCCATAGCAAACATATGCAACATCTAGATGAAAACGCTTGAAACATGCGTCTGAAACAACAGAAACACTTTGAACATAGGCTTAAAACATGCGTATATTGTCCTTGCAACATATGAAACATCACAGATCTACTTTTGCAACATCCAGATAAAACACTTGAACATAGTCTGAAATGCCTGAAACACTTGAAACAGAGCGTCGTCGGCGACCATAGCCTACCTGGCAGGGAACTTCGGTAGCCAGCAAACTCGGGTTAAGGGGACAACGAGAGCAATGGTCCAACGTACACCCCAGGCGCAGCGCGCAGGCCTCCCCTTCCTGCCGACAGCCCGACACACGCGCTGGATGGGGGTGCAGGCCTCCCCTACCTCTCCTTCTGCGACGGGCAAGGTGGATGGGGGCATGGCGCGGGGTGTAGAGCAGTGTGGGATGCAGCCAGGTGCAGTGGCGTTGAGGGAGGCGGGCACTGAAAGGTCCTTGTTGGTTTTGGTAATTGAGTGACAACCTAGGTGGACTAATCGTGTTTATGTGAGATACACAGGTGATTAGTCCACAGGTACATGTGTATGAGCAACATATGCCATGGAGGTGAAAATGGCTTGGAGATGTTGCAAAGCTCACACATGTGATGATGAAGGAGCTTATTGCACATGAGACATGACATTGAGTCATGTGATCAAGGTGGAGAAGATCAAGACAAGACTTGGCTTGATGGACCGGTTGCAAGCGTGAAGGGCAAGTCAAAGGCTTTGGAGTGATGGACCGTGTGGCGGTGAAGCTTGAGCAAGACTTGGCGCCGATGGACGATAGCAACGGTGAAGAGCAAGTAGAGTCAAGATCGATGAACCAATATGATCATGTGATGATATGAAGTGGATCATATCATTGTTGATCGTGTTGGTGCATGTGTTGCATCGACATTGAAGGAGATGGAATGGAATGCGCAAGGCAAAGGTATAACCTAGGGCATTTCATTTCACCGGTCATAGGTGTGTAGAGAAGTTTATGACCGGATTTAGGATAGATGGCCGTACTATCAAGAGGGGCAAACTTGTTTGCATATCGGTCATCTAGTGCCACTCGAGTGATCTAACTTTGCATTGTCGCTAGGATCGAGTGGCGTGGCAAGTTGAGTGGCTAACATCCTTTGGGAAATGTTTGTGAAAATGCTAACACACATACACATGGTGGTGTACACTTGGTGGTGTTGGCACATTTACAAAGGAGGTGGTGTTTGCAGGGTTGAGATGGGTTTGGGTCCCTCTCTCCCTCCCGCCGAGCTTGCTCGAAAGGATTCGGCGCTTTCGGGAAAATAGAATGCCTATTTTCTATTGCGCCGGATGCAAGTTCTTGTGGTTAGCACATTGGAGCAAGGGTGATGAAGTTAGAAGTGAAAACGAGTTAGTCGCGAAGATCTTTGGCGTCGGTCAATCGACCGGACGACTGAATCTGAATGCACCGGACGCCGGCATTGCGTCCGCCCGTGACCGATATACGATGACACGAAGTGGAGTGTGACCGGACGACTGGCTGCGTCCGATCAAGTGTGACCGACGCGTCCGTCCGCCGAGGTCGGCAATTTGCATTTGAAACGACCGGACGACGGGGTTCAGCGTCCGGTCCGGTCCGGTTGGGAAAGTTCTGTGTCGGTCCGGTCAAGTCAAGTGACCGTTGGAACGGGACACGTGGCCGTCTGCATGCGGGCGACGGACGCCGAGGTCCAGCGTCCGGTCAACACGATCGGAGCGTCCGGCCGGCCCGACCGCTGCTTGATGAAGGGGTAACGGCTAGTTTAGCCCTTAGGGCTATAAATAGAAGTGGCCCTCGGCCATGGTCAGTCTTGAGCACCTCAAGGGACTTAGTGTCCATGCTTGTGAGTGCTTGGGAGCCCTCCATCACACATATACTTGATAGTGATCATTCGATTGTGTGAGTGAGCGATTCTAGTGCGATTGCATCGTGAGGTTGCATCGAGTGGCACTAGGTGATCGAGTTGAGCCGGTGGTGCTTGTTACTCTTGGAGGTTGCCACCTCCTAGACGGCTTGGTGGTGGTCTCCGTCAATACAAGCGCAAGAAGCTTGTACTGGCGCCCGGGAGAAGTGCTTGTGAGGGGCATTGTGCTCGCCCTGGAGTCGCTGAAGAGCAACCTTAGTAAAAGCGTGTCATTGAGCTACCCTCACTCAAGGGGTAGGTTCTTGCGGTGCCCGACGCATGCGGGCTTAGCGGGTGATGCTAATTAGCGCCCGAACCACCAAGTGAGTGATCGACACAACGGGGACTAGCGTGTTGGCAAAACACGTGAACCTCGGGAGAAAAATCATCGTGTCAACCTTGTTCTTCCCGTTGGTTTGCATCCCCATTACACAAGCTTGCA